ACTCTGTCCTCGTCTTTTGTGCGCTTTTAAAACCAAGAGACCAAAAGAGTAGACATGCAGGCGAGCGTAAATTGTAGACACAGCTAAAACTCAAGGCACAAGGAAGCAGAAAGAGGGCACTTCAAGAGGCCTTTTGACTTCCCTGCATGTCGGATTTGAGTCTCGTACCGGGTAGTAAGAAGCAACAATACTGGTTCCCTAGCCTTTCCTGCCTCAAGAAGCCTTGGAACAAAGAAATCCTACTGGTCATTCATTTTGTTTTCTCTTCTCGGGGGGATTACAGTGCACGCTGCGGCAGCAAACTGCCTCGAAGGGGCTCGACTCACACTCCTAAGAGAATGATTGGCAAGCAATTTCTCCATTGTGTACTATGTGCATTAAAGGGGAACTCCGTCGATTTTTTGGTAGACTTCGATTTGGCTGGAAATTTGCAGACCACATCAATAAGCCTTTTTTAACTGATAACCAAAATATTAAAAAAAATATATATATATTTCCGTGAAGTTATTGAACTTTCAAGTAACCCCGGCCGGGAAGGTTCCAGGAGGCGACCCTCTACTGGCATCAATGAAAAATCTCTACTTCTCCCTACCCGCGTACGTCACGGATGTGCAGGCGGACGAGCGACTCGGGCAGCCGCCAAGTGGCTTTCTGAACGCCAGCGATCGAGGTAATTTTTTCGCAGCTTTCGCAGAAGTGATGAAAATGTCTTTAATGTATTATATTGTGAAAAAATTTTATATAAAGCTGAAAAGATTTTTTTTTTTTTTTTTATTATGAAAATATTAATGTTGTTAAGGGGAGGCATGCAAATTTACAGCTGATGAAAACTGTGCCAAACGAACTTAACTTAAAAAACTTTACATAGAATTACCCCTTCCCTATTTTGAATTAAAAGATTTATAATGTCTTTCTGTACCTCACGCACTATTGTATCTTCAAGCAAATATTCTTTATTTGGAGATGAACAGTGTATTTGTGTATTTTATACGCATTCCCCTGCACCTTGATGTTTGACTTGGTGGTTGCGAAGTTCTTTTAATCGTCATTTTAACACAATCGTCATGACCAGTAACCTGCCATCTGATCTACACGAACGCAGTTCATTCCATTCTATACTTTTCATTGTTTACGATAATCACAGTCTACATGTCTTAGGTCCCAGCCCAGCATGCACATGTTCATCGCTTTGGAAGGCAAGCAATGTATGTGCCACACGCACGAACGCTGAAAATGGCATAGACCAGAAGCGCTTTTCAGAAATGGTTTACAGATCTTTTGCTAGATTACTTAAGCACCAAGGAGCATATTCATGCCACAAGAATAGTCACACGTGCTGACGCCTGCAACAGTAACTTTTCAAAAGAAAATCTAAAACAAATGGCACGTTCCTTCAGGTCATATGAGCGTGTGGGCATCTGTACCCACATTCCGAGCATTTTCCGCAGTGCTTTGGCAATTCACAAAAATTTTATTGCGTGACTCTTCGACCTTTCTTCACCAGCCATCTTCTAATAAAAAGAGAATGGATTTACCAGCGATATCACGAAACTAGCGAGGCGCGGCTTGAGCGTAGCGAGTTGCAAAAATGGTTTTATGAAATTGTAATTGCTAGTTTTTCTTTTACTTTCTTATAGTTATGCACATAGACCAAGGCCATACTTTGTGCAAATACATATAATTATCAACTCTAAACAGCACGAACGCCCAGATTTTTTTGCTGTTAGTCGCGAGAAAGGCGGGCGCGAGTGTACTCGATTGCCGGCCGCACGCCTCGCTGCACAAAGTGACGTGACACTTGGGCGGCGGGGAAAACTGGGGAAAAACTAGGGAGAATGATGTTTCGGTTAACTAGAGTGAATCTGGGAGAATGAGATAGCATTTCGGAATCAGGAAGCCATCCGCATTCAGATTATGCCCTTGGACTAGGTAGCTCGAAAAGTCGGAGTTCTCCTTTAAAGGGGTACTCCGGCATTTTCTCCATTGTCCCCAATTTGCCTAAAACCTTGCTTAACACACCAACGAACATCGCTAAAATAGTAACCCAAATATTTGGCCAAAATAACTTTTTTTCGCGAAGTTACAGAATTTACAATTAGGGTCATCATCGTGTTCTTCAAAGTGAAAAGCTCTACTGGCAACATTGAAATAGTGACATCATGGGAAGGCAGGGGTTCACTCTTTGGGCTGTAGACTTTGTTTTCAACTGACCACAAACAGTTTCATGGCGTTAAAAGAATGTTTTGGAAGGTTGCTCCAGCTCCCGCGCAGCACGAAACAAATGCTCGGCATAGTTCATTTCTAGACAGCCCGCTCGAACCGCAAGCCTGCCATCCCGTGACGCAGGCACGTAGGCAGGGGGGGCCATGGGACCTGGGCCCCACCCCGAAATCTTCCATTTTGCTGGGGCCTCCTCTCCCCCCTTGCCCTCATACAGCACTTTGTCATAAACAAGCCCCCCCCCCCCCCACCCCCCCCCCCCCGAAACAAAATCCTGGCTACGTGCCTGCCATGATGTCACGGCAATGAAAAGCGAAAGTATACCGTGAAATACCGTGCGCATCCGCCCATTCCACATTAAGCGCCCATTACCAAATTTGTGAGATCTGAGCAAATATGTACAGTACATTTATATGTAAAATTGATGACCGGACAAGTGCCCATCCCCCATTTTTTTGCGATTATCTCCAAAGTTTGAGTAGGCGCTTTCCCGGTATTTTACGGTATTTGAATTTTGGTATTGGCGTCATTTTCATTTGCCGATTTCATAATAACTATTTTGAGTTTCGTGATAGTAAATAGCATACCGGAAAGAGTAAAAGATGGCGATTTCGAAAATGTGGTTAGGTGGGGTTGCCCAAAAAATCGCTGGATTTTTTAAGCAGGTCTTTTTTCTGCCAACACGACAGTGGTAGGAACATTACCTGTGTCGAGCTAGAGAAGCCATATTGGGGGCTACCCCAGCTACGTCCACACTGGCTTTCATGGCAGTTATGTGTGATGCAGACAGCTTTCACTATTTCAACCGAGTGCCTTGGCAAACACAGAAGCAGCCACATAAGACAATCAGGAAAAGACGCCGAGTTGTACAGGCTAAGGAGGAAGGACATAGTGCAGCGAGCTATCTAGTCCAGGCTATTCCTCTGAGAAATGCAGTCGGTGGAAATGTAGGTCAGTTATTCCCGCCATTAATTTAGGTAACTAATGCAAGCATTACACTATTTTGCATATTTCTCTACTGCAACGCTAGTCATCCGCAGCAGAAACAACGCCCCAAACTAAAAAGAAGTCTCATTGCATTGTTAACACAGACATTAAGTCCATTAGGAAAGGCCAGCTGTGCCATCCACCTGTTCATAAGCGAGCTGGAGTTCATCAAAACACAACCGAGAATCTCTCGGAAGTACTTGGTTCCTTTTCAGTAGTTATTGAATGAAAGCACAGTGCAGTGGTGATTACCATCAGCACAGCCTTGCCACTGGCACTGCTGTCCCTCGAATGGCACATGCACGACATGGCCTGCAAGCCACATATATCCCTAAAAGAAAGCTGCATAGGATGCACTTACCGTGGCTAGCGTCGCCACCCAGCGAGCTTGCACAAACCCTCTGCATGGCACGCAGTGCTGTTCAGAACAGAGCGGCACTGGCTAGCCAGTTAATGCGAAGGCTTGTAGTGTCTTGCCGCTGCCTTGGCAAAGCTGCAAGTCACCTCTTTCACGCCTTGTGGTGCCCATCAGCTTCAAACGAAACGGTGTTGAATCGCGACCAGCTATTACCTGTCGCACAAGGGAGAAAAGGGTGTGAATGTGCAGACTCCTATCTGTTTGCATTTGTCTAGCGTGTGAGTTTTGTTTGAGAAGAAAACAACAATGACACTTCTTTCACAGTAATATGCAAAACAAAAACGAGAACGGCTCGGTTATTAATAAGTTGTGTGCAGCAGAGGCACGGGTGCGAGGGCGTAGCTCCGCAGAATGTTCTTTTTGCACGGCTGCTCGTGCAAAAAGGGCGCTTTTGTGCTCGGGCCTGTGCCTTTTCTGCACACAACGTATGTTACAGAGTGTATAGCACGCCTTCGAGAGCACTCGCGTGCGGCGAGAAATCCATCATATACAGGGTACGATCGCAGGAAACCTCGCAGAGTGCAGGAAGCTGCAAGTGCACGGTGCACCAGAATGTGAAACTAGAGGTGGTAATAGTATTTCACAGTTTGAGAATATGACGTTACTTGACGTAACTGCCTTACCGGCGGATGATAAGGGCCATCGGAGCACGACCAACTATTTGTTGTGATCGGGGCATTCGATTGGACGCGGGTTGGTAAAGATTTGAAAAACACGAAAGAATAAAACATGTAGGGATGAAGACAGACAGCGCAGTTCTTTGTTGACATGAAATGTAAGATCAAGCACATTATTCTGTCGGATCAAATGGTTTTGTTGAATTAGGTTTAGCTCGCAAGTCAGCCGTTCTTCGGCGGGCTTTCAGCTTTCTGCGATGGTTGTTTTAATCGTGAACGCAGGCTCAAACAATGTAGGCAGCGGCGCCAAATAGATCTGAAACTAAGAAACAGCTCGGACGCGTGGAACGAACACACACAGAGATCACATCACAGGAAAACTCAAACCACTCACCTTTCGTTCGACGACGGTACGTCAGGTGCGTCAGGCACGATGTTTCCGTTGTTTCTCCAGGCGTTGAGGAGACCGCGTCTGTTTCCGTGCTCCTATTGGTCGTGACGTCACCAAATTTCATCCAATAAAGTGCGCGCCGAAGTTTTCTCTAGTCGCCGGTAGTGATGGGACGAATCTTTATCCGAATCGAGATTCGGAGACGAATCTGAAGATTCGGAAAGATTCGGAAAAGTAGCCGAATCTCAAGCGATTCGGAAAAGTTCGGAAAGATTCGGAGCGTTACCATGGTTGCCAAATCACGTTGATGTGTGTTTCAACTGTTCGTGATATTAAATTAAATAAATTCTTCGAAGTGCACGAAATAATATTGTAATATAATATTAGAGTAATAAATAATATGTTCCGCTTTGTTAATATTATTTTGGATGTTTATCGAGAATGGTAGCCTAGCCAGACATCGCGGAAAAATTGGTTTCGGTTCCGGATCATGACCCAAATAGGCATGTTGGTGCACGCACGTGGAAACACATGCGCATGTTTTCATCGCCGTAAGATATCGATGCCGTACATGCTGTTCGGTACAGACACATTTCGTGCCCATAATTACTATCGCAGTGGCACACACCACATAAGTGAGTATGTTCAATTCGATTATCTCCAACGAGTGCCCACTGAGGTATTTCTATTGGAACACGGGAAACAATCTGAAACTCCTGGTTAATGCAGGCTTTCCGATTTAGTGTTTGTTTCCGAACAATGAAGTTGTGTTGGACACCCCTGTGTTGTGTTTCTTTTTTATCAAATAGAGTTCATGTACACAAAACTTGCTGCCGAGAACGGAGAAACGACAGTTTTTCTTTGCCACCGGTGCCAGTACGCGGCCTAAGTTGTGACGAGCAACATTCATCTCGCTCTCGCGCCTTACAGGTACAGACATACGCAGCTCTAGAGAGGGAGACGAATAATTTCCTTGCCTGAATATATATTTATTGTGAGTTGCCGCAGATTACATATAATACACAGCGTTTCGCTACATTTCACCGATCACCGCGAAACCGCACAGAAAGCGAGACCGTGCATTGGTTAGGCCTACGTCAACCACATCGATCAGCTCAGCTGGACCTGGGCGCATGCCAGGGTTTACAATGACAGTACAGTACATACCATACGTTGAAATAAACAAGACGATATCTGGTTATATGCAGGAACAGTATTTAAGAAGCGCACAACTGACCGCATACGCGAGGTTTACGACAACCTTCATGCTGCCGCCTGCATCCAGCGACGAATCTGACGAATCTCCGAATCTGCCGAATATTCGTCGCGAAAAGTTCGGAAATTTCCGAATCTGTCCGAATCCGAATCTCCGGTGATTCGTCCCATCACTAGTCGCCGGTGTACACACACCTCTGCTGACGACCTGACGTGAGCCGTAATCCAAGCCAACCCAAACAAACGTTTTGGCGTTATTCAGCCACGTTGTGATCTGTGCGTCGTTTGTGTTTTCGTAGGTTTTCTGTTTACAATTTCGTGACGGTGGAAAAATAAAAAGAAGAAGAAAAGTGGGCAAATACCGGAAATGCAGCTGAGCGGGGGAGAGCTGAGGATCACAACTTTATCAGGTAAGAAAAGATTCTAGGCGCGTTCACACTGGCGACTAGCGAACACTGACGTTCACTTCACACTGCCGATGATCGGCGAGTCGCTATCGGCGAGTCGCCGGTCGTCCGTAGACGATCGGCTACTCTGAGGGCGCGTTCACACCGGTGTTCACACTGCGGAAGATCGGAAGCTCGGGCGCCGACGTCGATTCAGTGCACCCCGCCACAGCTCGGGTTCGTGTTTCGCTGCTTTTCTATTTGAGTAAAGCTATACGCACTACGTAGTGCACTTCGGTTCCCACTTCGTACCTGTCAAGGTGTGGTACGGATTTGCTGCCATTCCCCACTCACAAGAGCCGCCGCAGAGACCTCCTTGATTCTGTATCGACGGCCGCTACCGCGAACCGAGGTGTTCAACGGACACGGTTGCATCTCCCACAGAAGTCCGGCGTGCCGGATGTAAACAAACGCGAGGCGCACTTACGTCACTTCCGAGGCGCCGCTGATTGGTTCAGCCGCCGGGCGACTCGGCGACAAGTCGCAAAATTCGGTCTGGAAGCGACTGCTCCAAACCTGTCGCTCTTGTGACTTGCGACCAAAGTTCCGCGCGACAGCTGCAACTTGCCCGTGTGAACGCGCCTTGAAGCTCCTAGGAGCCGCCACGGCCGCCATCGATTTCGTCCTTACTGCAACGGCTCGGGTTCGCGTTTCGCTGCATTTCCCAATATTGTTTTCACGTCTGCCGTTCTCGCCACAAAAGAAATACTTCTGGCATTAGCCTGGCACCTTCGGAACCGTACAATTAAAGCAATTTAAAGAATAATTAAAGCACGATTGCTACACTAACGCGCACTCGCTCGAGCTTCCGCGGGCCTGTGGGGCAAAAAGCCACAGATTTTCTGCCAGGCCGAGTTCTTTTTTTGGGCACTCATTCGAATAGGGGTGCTGCTTGTTATGAAAATATGGGTGCTCTGATCAGAGCAGATCAGAGCCGCTGCAGAAACCTCCATGACCAGTATTGTCTAGTCGCCTCTCGGAAGCTACCGGGAACCACCGTCGATTTCGTCTTCCCCGCCAAAGGTCGGGTTCACGTTTCGCCGCTTTCCCATTTTCGTTGTCTCACAGCTACACACGTGTCGTCGTTCCCATGTGAAAACGACTCATTATGTTAGCCTGGGTACTACTAAACCGTACAAAGAAGCACAATCGCTACGTGTCTGCATCCACTTACTCGAGCTACCTCGTTGCAGTACACACCTGCGAAGACAAAAGTGGCAAAGATCTCTTGCCAGGCCGCATTCTCTTTCGGGCGCTTGTTCAAATCTGGATGCTGCTTTTATAAATAAATTGGTACTCTTTAATAGTGTTGACCAGAGCCGCCGCAGGGACCTCCGTGGCTCCATATCCACGGCCGCTACTGTTAACCGAGGCGTTGGACAGGTATGCTGGTTGCTTCTCCCACAGAAGCTTGGCGTGCCGGATATAAATGAATGCAAGACCTACCTCACGTCACTTTCGAGGCACCACTGATTCGTTCAACTGCCATGCGACTCGCCGACCGGTCGCTAAAATCTTTCTGGAAGCAACTTCTCCCAACCAGTCACTTTTGCAAGAAAAGTTGTCACACGACAGCTGCGACTTGCCGTTGTGAACGCGCCTCTAGTTCCTTGTGGTGGTGGTCTGTGTGCGGGATATGGACAGTGAGCTAATCAGTCGCATGATTGCAGCATTGCTGTGTCTGTTCATGTCACCCGGGCAAGCAAATTGACAAGTGATGTGGACCCTAGCATAGCCTCCTGTATGCCTGTCAAGTGGTGTTCAAGCAGGATACTTTAGAAAGTGCGAGACAGCGCAACTCTGTCATATGTCGTGCAAGAACCGCATCCATCCGTTTTTGTTGTTTTTTTTGTTTTGTTTTTTTTTGCCAGTGGGAATGGTTCTTTCTGTCAAGGCACATTCACACTGAGAGAAAATGCATGTTAAGTGGCAAGTTTTTATTGATCTTTTTTTTTTTTGCTTTTTGTATTGAAAAGATACGCTTGGTTTCCGGACGAAAATGACGAGGAAATACTCGCAGGCAACTCCCGTTTTTCCCGCACAAAGCAGACGAAACAGAGAGCAGGCGCCAAAAATGTTGTGCAAACCAAAACCCGGTCCCTCTTTTAGTTTGAAAATTTTTCTTGGTCTGGGGGAAGGCTCTATTATAAGATAAGTGGCATCCGGAGTACAAGAAGAAAACACTAAAATCAAACACCTGGAAAATAATTGGATTGGAATTCGGCATGAAAGTTAAGTTGAAACGTTTTCGCATTGACTGAAGATTACAGAAGCTGCTAAAGAGAAAGCATGGCAGGAGATCGCATCCGTGCTGAACTCGCAGCATCCATCGACGCTACGCACTGTGTCGCAGATAAAAAAACAGGGGCAGAACCTAAAACCTCGTAGCCGCGCAGAATTGACGCTGTCCAAGAAGGCAATCTCCACGACCGGTGAGTTTACTATACATATGTTTTTACTGCTCATAAAAGTGAACCACACATTCTGTGTGCTAAAGGAATTTTTTTTTTTTTCTCATTTTCTTGGCTAAATTATAGAAGTAATCATGATTTCAACCTATTAATACAACCAAATCAAAACAATGAGTGCACTTGCTGCAATCAGAAAAAATTCAATGCCTAAACAAAATATAAAAAGAACCTTATCTTCCACAGACGCAGGGTGTAACAACCACCAACTCGCACCGCTGGCTGAAGCTGTGCTGGCGGTCGTCGGTACCACGAGCCCCAATCCTCTGGACATAGAAGGGGGCATCGACACCCACCAGTGAGCTGTCATGTTACTGCTGTTTCTATGAACATACTGGAATGCATGATGTGTCATTTGATGCGGACAAGTCTAGCCTTTTTAGTTTACACAATTGGGGGTTCTACTAGCAAAGCTAACATTGTATTTGTAATCATATCTAGGGTTCGCAAGTACAAAATACCGGGCCAGTCAAAGAAACTTTCTGGTGTGTTCTCCAGAGCAGGAAGGAACCGTGCACATCCAAGAACTCTAAAACTTTGAGCCGTGTTACTTTAGGTTAAAGTCAAGGTAGGCATTTCAATGAAAGGCCACTGCACTTATAGATGATGATAATAATAATAATGATATAAATAATAGTAATAATAGTAATTATTGGATCAGGAGAGCCATGGCACTGCAGAAAGGCAAGAGCCCGTACAAGGTATGCCTGCGACGTCACATCTAGTGATGGTGATTATGTGATGATATAAGATCACAATCTACTCTTGTGAGCTGCAAGATTAAAATGATGGCGCTTATGAGCTGACATGTACAAGGGAAGGGCGACGCAGACTTCTGAACATCGCAAAGCAATGTTGACCGAGTCTCAAAGGTTCGGGAAAGGGAAATAATGGCAGTCTTAGGCTGGTACACTGCTGAAATGCTAGAAGGTATACCTTAAAAAGGTGTCGTGCAATGCAAACAAGACAAAGGTTATTGTGTTTCTACTACACCACTATTACTAAATACATTAGACTCATTAATTCAAGCTTTAGGAAGTATGAATTTTGTTTCAATTATCAGAAATTTATCTAAATATGATGCAAGATAAAATTATGGTTTGCCATAGGAATGGCTACACACACACATAAGATATTTGATGCTTTCCTTTACATAGGCCTACTGATCATAACCAGGTAAGCTACACATGAAACGTTTGTGAAACGTATGACACGTTTGTTTACCCCTCAAAAATGTTCTGTTGTGGGCTGTTTAAGCACATGACAACGCAAAACAAAATTCAGTTTCTTCATCAGGTCAAGAAGTTGTCTAGTGTGAACTACAGTAGACTCCTTTTTGGACGAACACGAAGGGACCCTGAAAATTTGTTCAACTTATCAGATGTTTCTCTTAACAGAAGTGCCCTAATTATCATGCTGGGCATGTCTAAATTGCTGTTGACCAATAAACACAAAATAAATAGGTGCAAAATCTTTAAAAAGAGACATTTATTTGGCTTACCATGCCAAAAGGAGAGGGATTCGATTCATTCAGTAATTTTTGACTGCCTTCTCCTTTGTGCGAATCGGTGTTGTGCAGTGAAAGACGACATGTGGCCAATCTTCTTGAGAAAACCTTCAGAACCTTCCTGTTCCAGGAAAAACTGCAGTAGCACAGTGTAACTGCTGGTGCTTCCAGGGCAACATCTTCACTATTGTCTTTGTCATCATCGGCGTTTGCTGGCGGCTCAAGCAGTTCCTCAATCAAAGTTCTGATGCTGTCTGCTCTGCAAGTAGCCACAGAGCCATCAACAACAATGTATGCCGCTATGTCCAGCGAAACACCGTTACAGTTCAATGAGGAAGCTAAGCTGGCGTCCTCTGGGTCAATGTCCTCCGACAAGTCCTCACCTTCACATGGGGCTTTTAGTGAGCAGCTCTGCTTTATAAAAATTCAGCATGGCGGAAGCAGTTTGCAATTGTAGCTTCGGTGACCTGATCCCAGGTGTGAGACAGCAGATGGAGGGCAGTCAAGAGATTCACTGAGTACTTTTTGCCATTTTCCATGCACAAAAAAAAAAGCATTTGTTGAAGCAGCGATCATCAATAGTGCCTCTTCAGGGAACTGATTACCCCTTGGTCCATGGGCTGGAGTTTTGCAGTTGTGTTGGGGGGCAAGAACTGGAGCCGGACAGCCGAAAGTCCGCTGACCTTCCCGTGCCCGGGACAGTTATCAACAAGGAAGAGGACCTTTATCTTTTCTTTTACAAAGTGGCGATCCTCCTCGCGCAGCCACTGCTCAAACAGTGTTTGGGTCATCCACGACTTGAGTTGGCTGTATAGGTCACTGGCAAAGTTTTCACATTTTTGAAGCAGCGTGGAGACTTGGCCTTGCCAATTACTAGAAGTTGGAGCTTGCCATTCCTGCTTGGTTGGCACCAACAAGCACGGTAATTCGCAGCTTGCTGTGCTTGCCTCCGGTGCTCACGTCGCCAGCAAACGACAGCATTTTTTCTG